GTGAGGTACTGTGGGCCTCAACAGTGGCTCCCTTGGAGCTATTCTGGTCTCTAGCCTTAGGATAAATGCTGGTGTCAGCTTGCCCAGCTCATCTAAATATAATTCCTCAGCCAGGCAACCTTTTTGACATGCCTTGGTACCCCTGACCCTCATATACACAAGTGCTAAGTTGAGCACACACTAGTTACCCTGCCACTTTTTTTTTTTTTTTGAAAGGTTTTTGCCATAGTGGCATGCAATCACCAGAGAGAGAGAGAGAGAGAGAGAGAGAGTGAGAGGAAAAGTGAGAAATCACTCCCTAGGGGATAGCCATGCCACAATCCCTTCTCCTCCATTATCCTCTCAGGATTTGGGGTATGTACACACACATGCCTGGTGTGATTTTCAAGTTGCCACATCTGGGACTTAATCCATGGTTGGCCATGTGGGAATCCAGTGGCTTAACTGCCATGCCACCTACTGACCCCACCCTGCCATTTTTCACAGAACCTGGTTGCACTTTAGGCTGTCATCTCTGTCCATTTGATTCATCTGCTTTCTCTTTTTTGTATTTCTTTACCTTGATGGGCTATCACCAGCATTCTTTCTTCCCTTTCAGTGTTGTAGAGGGAAGTGAAAAATGGCTGCTCTCCAGCCTTCTAAGTTTCCTCAGCTAGACTATCAATTGTATTGACATAAGACAGATTAACAGAAGAAAAAAACATATAATTATGCACATATGCACAGGGGCGTCACAAAATGCGAGCTTCCAAAAGGATCAGATGATTGGAGCTTATATAGCACCGTGAGTTACAGAAAGGAATAGGGGCTTGGAGTTTCTGAGCAGTAGTGGTGACACAATTTATAGGAGAAAGAGGGAAGGAATTGTGTGAATCAGGTTGTCTTATTATCTAGATAAAGTCTCTCAGGCAATAAAAATTGTCTGGGAGCAGCTCTCAGAATAGGTGGATGTCCTGGTGTGGTATCAAGGGCCAGGCCCCTTACCTGCCATCCGCCACCTGCCACCTGCTGTGCAGCTACTTGGGCCCTAGGAGCAAGCAGGAGGGTCTTGAGGAGGGTGTATCCTGTACCCTTTCTTGTGAGCTGAGTTCATCTTCTCTGTTGATGAGATTCCCAGAGGGAGGATTCATGACATGAGTTCTGTTTGGAGAATCTGATTTTAGTCAGATAAGAGGACTCAGAGAAAGCCTCTGCCTCATCCCTGCTTCCTACGTGCCTCAACTCAAAGTCATCAGCACACCAAAGCCACATATTTTGGGATCCATTTCCTGAACTCCTTCAGTTGCTGTGGACTTTTTTATAATTCATGATTGAGCCTTTCTGTGTGCACCTGAGTGAGGGAGAAATGAGCACCCTCCATAGGTCTGGTCACACTGCGATCCCCTTTCTCCTGTCCCCCACGCTATCTAATTTTGGGCACTTGCATGTGTGCCAGAGTCTCAGGCTGGCCTGTCTAGGGGTTCAAACCACGGTCATCATGGAGGGTCTGGCCTCTCTTGAGACACATGTTACCACTGTGCTGTGGAGCTGGCCCTTGATGATTCTTGTTAATCCATCTGTTATTTCTAGGAATTTTTAGTGGAAAAAAAATGGAACTTAATTCAAATATTGTTTGGTTTCTATTACATATGTTATATAATGTTTTATTACAGAGTATCAGGACCTGTGTGATTGGTTGTTAGAGCACAATTGAATCAAATGCACTTGGATTTGACTATGGGCTATTCTTATGGAGTAAGACTTCAAGCAATTTTCTTAATCTCTCAGAACCTCTTTCCTCATTTCCTAAGTGGGGATCGCCATTGTGAGGCTTCAGGGAGATGGTAATTCATACAAAGCTCTCAGCAGAGCACCTGGCACAGAGTGAGCGCTCACTGTTTCATCTTTGGGTTATTTTTATCAGTGTTTTTGTTCTTGTGTTTCTGACGAAGCTACACCTGATTAATGAAGTACTCAGGAGCCCCTTCCAGCTAGTATCACAGCCTCACCAAGAATAGTCTGATACCCCTCCTGTTGCCTCTGCAGCTCGACTCAACCAGCTGGAAGGGCTGCGGACCATCGGTGTCACCACCAACGGCATCAACCTAGCCCGGCTGCTGCCCCAGCTTCGGAAGGCTGGTCTCAGCGCTGTCAACATCAGCCTGGACACCCTGGTGCCAGCCAAGTTTGAGTTCATCGTCCGCAGGAAAGGTGATGAGATGTGTCACAAGGAGGGTATGCTCCCGGGGTCCGAGTAGCTGAGAGCAGGGCAGGTGGCAGGTGCTAGGTGAGGGGCCTGGCCACTTTCTCTTGGTGTCTGTGCTATAGATACGTGTAGGCATTTATTCCTCACCCCGTCCTTGCCACCTGTCAGCTGGGGAATTTGGGGAGTCATATGCTAATAAGCTAGGGTGACTGACTCCCCGACCCCACCCCCAGTTTGCCATGATGCGGGGGTTTCCAGAATGAAGGACTTTCAGTATACCAACTAGGACAATCCCTGGCAAATGGGGCCAGATTGGTCTGATTCTTCTAATGAGGAAGAAATGTGCAACCACTCAGAGTGGAAGCAGCCACGCTGAGATGCAAGGGTCAGGGAGTGCACCACATTGAGGGTCTCAAAGTAACCCATGGCTCTCCCTGAGCCCACCAGGGTATGTGCCTCTTGTCATTCCTCTACAAATACAGCCACACCTTCCTCCCGCTAGGCTTCTCTGGGGAGGCTGAGGGGGTCAAGCAAAGCTTGGAGCTCTGGGTCTCATGGGCTAGTGCCTGGGTGCTCTTTGACTTGGGAGTGAGAGGTACATTACTGATGACTCCTAGAAGATCAAAAGGGTGCCAGGGAGACCCAGCTCTTCTTCCCTTTCTTTGGAAACAGCTTCTAGATCAGCCCACTGCCTCTCTCCTCCCTCTCCCTGGTGTGACTCCCTTTACACTCTTACATGCTGAGGAGGCACTCAGAGTCTCCTCCCTCTGGAAGGGCTGCTCTGAGAGCTATCTGTAGGGGAGACAGAAGGCACACTGGATGTTACTCCAGCTTTCCAGGCCACTAAGGACTAAAAGATGTGGTTCCACAGGACCACCATGTCTTGTCCTGTGGTGGTGATCAATGTGCTCCAGAGAGGGAAA